AATACATTTTAACATTCATGATTCTGCTTTCAATAAATAATAATTCAAATGTTTTGTCTAAACACACACGTACACACACACACACACACACACACAGATATATATATATATATACACAAATATAGTCACATGGTTTTTATTTTGAATTTATAATTTTAGTTCAATTAATATTGTTTTACAAAATTCAAGTTCTCTGCCATCACTGCAGTCATCTGATACAAAATATCTAAACATTATACAGCTGATGAGTGATTAGTAATAAAATCATATTATTTATTTTCTTTGTATGATAATATATGGAAGTTACTTGTATTGTATGAATATTATTATGTATAATTATAATCTGGGCTATAATTTCGTAAAAAAACTATACCGCTGTTGTATCCTCTTTCAATTTCTAAAAACTTAAAAGTCGATATTTCGACAATATCAATAATTATCAACAAACCAAAAGTTTTGAATATTATTCGACTCCTCTCTCGCCAACTTTCGTGACGTGCGCGCACACATAGAGTATTTATCATACGGCGCCGGGTTATAATATGCGTCTCAATGTGTATTTATTTATAGTCTGTTTTTTTTTTTTTTTTTTTTGCAACAAACCCCAAAAGGCGATTCCTCACGCGACTAAAGCATTTTTTTTTTTTTTTTTCATGATTTTTTTGTCTAAAAAGTGGGTTGGAAAAAAGTAAAATATTATTTTCCTCCTCCCATTGTTCGAGCTTTCAGAGCTTAATAGAATTCCGTTTCAGCTTTTTTGTTTTTGTTTTGTTTGTTTGTTTGGTTTTTTTTTAGCGTGAGAGCCACGCTACAGTTCCGTGTGGCTTCGCTTTTGTCAAATAAACAATAAAAAAATGTATACACATAAAAAACAGAAAAGGTTCAATAAGCCTTGCATGTTTTTAATCGTATTTCTCCGGCATTTTGCCGAGACAACGGTAAAGTATAAATGTATAAAAACCATGATAGAATTCTCTAGTGAATTATTGAAAAATATAATAAATAATAATTCCGTAAACTCGTCTTTGCGTGGCCTCTTGGATAGGAAAATCATGTAAACTACGTAGTATAACAGGACACTGGTACTATCTTCTATCATTACGTTCCTTACAGTAATACATTCCGTGATATATGAATTCGCTGTCCAATTGGTTCAGATTTATCATGATTGCATAGATTTTGTATGCGCCTCATTGGAATTCAAAGTTCTCAAAAACTTTTCGTATAATAAATTGCCGATAACAAATTGCATAACGTTACTGCGTAGTTTTTTTTCTTTTTAACAAATTTGACAGATCAAACATCCGAATAAATAATTTAACTATAACAAACCCCAGTTTTCGTTAAATTCAATCAGTATTTCATCCGAGTACCTCGTCGAGTTTCCAAGTATTTTTACCGAAGAATTTGATGTATTGTATATTCAATTTAAAAATAATCATATTCGTCTACTAATTTATTATTAATTATACCTATTAATCAATTATGAACTCTGCGCAAATAATACCAACGTCCTTGCCGGTTGATAAAATATTATGATTGTGTTATAGTATATGTCTAACTCAAATACTCGATTTCAAAAATTTACTTCGTCATTTTACCCTAGTCTCTTTATATTTAAAAACTTTAAAACCGTGTTAGTGAAAAAAAAAAGAGGAAAACTATACTTGTTTTTGGTAAATTACCTTATACAGCACAATCGCTTATCATAAGTAATCTGAATTCAGTAAATTTTATTATTTCTATTTTCCAATGGATTAATTTTGTTGAAAATCGATACAATGTAGATAATATTAATTATAGATACTTAAATAAATATTAAATCTTACATATTAATGTATTATACAAAAAAATAATAATTTTTCCACGATCGCAATTAACTATCATTTACAGACTATTTTATTTTAAATCGAGTGATTTTTTTTTAATATAATACGCTATCGTGATTATAATCTCGTCATTAGTACATACGTTTAAAATTCAACACAGAAATTATGTATTACTTGTTTGTACCATTATTGTTTTCAAATATAGGTCACTGCCATAAAAATACTTTTATTAATATTTTCCGTTTTTGTATCTCTTTTAGAATTTAATAAGTTTAGTTATACGATAGTGAAGTTAATGAAAATTTATCGCCTTGAATTTGTCTGAGTTTCATGCAAACCGGAAGAATAAAATGTTCGGTTATGAATCGCGTTTTACGATAAAGTTACCGGGTCTGGAGCGGTGGCAGTAGTATTGGCTTGGCTATTGTGTTGAGTTGTTGTTTTCAAGACACATAAATTACATGGGTAAAACACTATTAGCCGAAGTGAGGGCGGCGAGCATTAGGAATAGTTCAAAATCATATGATAATATATATGTGTATACCTATATGCATATACAATGTACAATATACAATATAAATAATGTGTATATATATTATATATTGTTAATGTATAACGACAACGACGTTTACACCCGAGTATATTTTACACTCAAAACAGATACACCACGCATTTCCCGTTGTTATCGCGTGATTTACGCGATACGTGTATAACCGCTGTCTAAAAACCAAAGAATAATAATTCGGAATAACGGAGATCCCTACGAAAATTTATCGTCTTCTAATAAATTGAAACGTTTAACCGTATATACCATTCACTTTTCGCTGTCACCATAAGCGACCGTGTGTGTATATGTGTGAGTTTTGAGTGTTAACTTACAGAAGTGCTCGCTAGTTTCAAACTCATTCTACTTGAATTATTAAGCTAGAAATTTATGTCGCTTTCCGTGCAAATTCGCTACTCGGCCCGTCAATCAAACCGGTGCTTAGGTTGACACGTATACAGTCGTGTTTTGTTTTAATTTTTATAATTTTTAATTTATATAGTCTTACATATCTGTAGTAAGTTGCTCATACAATTTCGGATTGTTGTCAATTTATATTTTACAGTGTCACGTTATATCTTTTAATTACAGTTATGACCTGTCACAACATTTCTAGATACTCCCGTGTAGTTAAGTATAAGATATTTACGAAAATACAACGATATAAACTTATTAACTTATAACACATTATTCTTAGAAGTCAAACGGAAATCGCATTCAATTTGAACAACAGAAAAATTCAATTATTTATTTTTTTTTTTTTGATTATCTGTTTTCTATTGAAATAATTTTTTTTTTTATCTACTAAATTTCCATACTAGTAATTGTGTTTGACGAATAATAATTTTGACATGTTGTACACAACTAAAACTAGCTGTTTTATCAGTTCTGTAAAAACTTTAAAGGGTATTGAAACAAAAACATATATATATATTAAAAATACAAATCAATTTTTTTTAAATTAAATTTCATTTGCATCTATAATCTATTATTATATTATTTATTTTATATTTAATTTTAATTTTTCATCATCTATTTTATGAAGTAAGCGTTACATGTTCATTCAAAATATACATTTTTAAACTTTTTTTATCGGATTACCGGAAATTCCTTCCACACAATGCTTCCAACAAAAATAAAATACGTTTTATATGATAGTACAACCACTACTACTACGTGAATAACCCTAAATAATGTACTTTGTAATCCTTCTAATGATGAAATCTACTATTGATACGATGCTATATGCAATTACATCATAATTTTTCCTATTAATCAGAATTGCTATTGTGTTACCTACACCAAACAGTAATTAAATACAACTATTTTTCATCCCCCGCATGGTCATCCATTCATTAAATATAAACATTCTCATTGATCGTGCCCTTTGAACCAGAGCAATTTATTTAATGCTCGTGTTTTGATCTATTACCCCTCACAAATGCTTATAATTTATTCACATTCTGCAAATTCTGAAGAACACTCCTTGTGGAAAAAAATGAATTAAGCACATCAAATGTGTACACGGTTGTTTTTTTCTCGTTCCAAGTTGAATGTCATTAACGATAATTGTTTGGAGCTACCTAAATAAAACCGTACTTAAAATTACAAGTTGCTAGGGTATCCTATAATGGCTACTGTTTAAACGTACCAATTGTATTTCATGTATTTTACATACATAAAAATCAAAAAAGTCGTCTCCTCCGGTATTTGTAGCGTAATTTTATTTTGTTTTTTTTTTTTATTATTATTATTATACTCACACCAAAGTCATAATGCACATCGATAAATTGATGACATATGTTATTATTTGTAATTATAGTATTTCGCTAAATGTTATAGCAACAGCTCTGGAGAAAAATTTAAAAATTTGGAACTATTTTAAGTACGCGAATGAAATGTTCGTTTAAGAAAACTTAAAAAGCCACTTTGGCTTTTTTCTAAATTATCTTTAATTTATAAATTGTCATGTTTTTTTTTTTTTTTTTTTTTTTTTAACGTAACATTATGTACTTGAAAGACAACTGTTTTCCCCAAATTGCCGACAAATTTCATAAAAATGAAATGTGTTTTAAGAATTTTGCAAGTTTCATAAATTAATTTTGAAAACCGAGGATAGAATGAAATATATCAATGATAATAGTAACACGTTTAATAATTTTAATATATTTAACGCTCTAGTGCACCTATTAAAGTAATTATTATTGCTTATATAATATATTCAATCTTTATTTTTTTATTAAACAAACAAATTCATTTATCATTTAAAGTTTAGTATTCAATATGTATTAGTATTCGATTTTTTGATTAATAAATTCTATAATTTTTTCTCAAATCTCGACAGTCAATTATTTATTTATTTTCAAAACCACTGTAGTGTTAATATTTTTATACATTAATTTGATTAACTTTATTTTGCCAATATTATTACTATCATACATCTCCCTTCTCTTGACCACTGATAAATGTTGGCATACTGGCATTGTTTAATTTAATAGAATCTCATTATTAAAATTAAAATAATCATTTTATACATACTCTTAAACACCCGTACATTATATGTTATTTATTTTTTTCTTTCGATGTTTCATTAATTTATTAATATTATCATTTTTCTCATTTTATAGTTGAGGAACTGTTATGTTTGGCCACATGGAAAGACGGATCGACAAAGTACATGATCGGTAAGCTAGAACATACACCTACGTCGTCGGATGAAGAAAAGTATCGGTGCTTTGTAGTGGGCAAATCGATGGGTGGTACGTTCGATATGGCCCAGTCAGGCGATGCAACGTGTAATGGTATGTCGTCGCCCACTGATGGGTCAAGAACTATGAAGTTTGTCAGAGGTAAGTTGAAAGCAACCGTGTACACACTCTCTCTCATTATCAAATCCATTCTATTTCATTATCCTCATTGTTATGCATCCGATGAAATTTCCTTTAGTTATAGTGCTCGTTTATAATTTATAATATCAGGTTTAATTCTATATTATGATTTTATTTAGTATTGTATATTTTTTATTCAACGTATCTAACAATCAGTTATTTTCAAATTGGTATTGCAGTTTATTGTATCGGTGTTTGAACAAAATTGTTCAAAACCCAACTACGTGGAAATTTAAATATCTTAAAATTCTATCACGTTTCTTGATTTTGAACAGATCGAAAAGCAATTCTATTTTAGATTATAATTTGAGTGAGGAGTGTATTTTTCAAAGAATTTAAAATGTATGTAATCAAATGGATCACAGTAAAAGTTTTCAATTTCTCTGAAAATACAAGTACAATATACTTGAAATAACATTTTTTTTTTAATGTGCATTGATTAAAAAAAAAAAAAAAAAAAAACAGTTATATTTCTCGTAAATTTATTATGAATTTAAATTTAGAACACTACTACATACAACTTATTTTAATTATTGTTCATGCGTAATTATGTAATTTGTTTGAAATTTATGATCAATCATAGAATTTAACGTAGCTTATAAAACAATTTAAGTTATAATTAACTTACAATAAACCATTTAAAAGTTTAATTATAATGAAATGTATTCGTTTTGTTTTTTATTAAATTGAAAATTTCTTATTTTAAATCAAGACTTTAAATTTAAATGTAAAGTTATTCATTTGATATAAAACCCTATTTAATTTATTTTAAACTTTTACTCATGTTAATAATAATAACGCTTACATTTTGAATAATGTCAAAAACACTAACTATTTAATTTCACATCGATGCAATCTTCATATTTGATGAATTATCTATAAGGTTAATAGTTATGTATATAATTAAAATAAAACAATATATCATATACTAATGTAGGAACTAAGAGATCAATGTCTGTACTAAGTATTAGCAATGGTTTTTCCTTCTAATGTTTTACATACAAATAGTCTGTTTTAAAGAATATTTTCAAAAAAATCATTAAATATAAGGAATACGTATGTAAATATAATTAAATATTTAATCTATTTTATATTACTGTTATATTATTTACACCATGGAAATAAATTTGTGAAAAACTAAAATATTATTCATTTGAAAAAAGTATTAAATTAAATAAGTAATAGGTACCATTCAATTAATAAGTTTGGCATGTATCTATAGGTACTTCAAAATAAAATGAATAATATAATTTTTAAAAGGTAAGTTGTATATATATAAGTAATAAAATATATTTTTCGGTTTTGTTTTGATTTATTTATTCGACTCGTGTACATACAATATTTTACCAGCCTTATGATTTGATGTATACGTCATAGCGCGTGTAATCGTGACACGAAAGTCTCATCGAATGGTAGTTTATAATAGTCTTAAAACTTCGCCTAACCCAAGTGTAATGTTATTTTAAGGTGTATACCTCAGGGGTGCGTCATACTTACTAATGTCTTGGGGAAAAAAAAAAAACTTTGTGATTTATGACGCCCTCAAAACCGAGTGTCGCACGACTGTTAAAAAGTTTTCTTTGAAGTAACTTTTAAACCATAACTAATGTCTGGCAAATTAATTCTTTCAAAGAACAATAATATTAAACTTCCAAATAGGGTTTATATTGTGGCAGAAAAATATGATACTTAAAATAATGTATTTTATAACCCTTTTGTCTTATGGTAAGCATATTTAAGAAGTGAAAAAGTTTTTGTTTTAATTGATTTCAAAGCAATTAAAAGTCATTGAAAATAATTAACATCAAACCACCTCCACTACTTGTTGCCCGATCGAAGTTTCCCATTCGAAGCAAATTTCTTTGAATTGTGATTGTATAGTCATGTTTGATTTACACTTTTTTTTTTTCCAATTATATAATACGGTTTTTTTTTTTTTTTTTTACTATTAAACTTACTTTCTATTTATATAACAAAATATTCATAATGATACGACTGATTGAATTTCTTATTCTACGTATGATGAACCCGTAATATAGGGGATACGTTGGTTTTTATTATAATACACAGTCGAGCTTGCTAAAACAAAACGCATATCCAGTCGTAATAAAACAAAAGTGCTTGAAATGAAAAAAATCTATATTGTAAATAATATATATATATACGAGTACAAACATAATCTATAACTACGAGTCCCTGATAAGCATCCTTAGAGATGTCGTAAACTTTACAAGGTAACAGCAGCGGCGGTTGTCTCTTTTCAATATATTTTCATGTTTCTCGATAAAAACTTATATTTAATTTATGAACGCTATAGAAGTTTATGTAGTACTGTATTTGAACGTAAATAGTTGGAAAAATTGGTTTTTGCGATGACGAGTCCGAGCGTACACGATTATATTTATGTATATAATATATATGTATTGTGTTATGTTTGTTATACATGTACATATTTAACATGTAGGCATTTGTCAAAAATAGAATTATATTATATATACCTACGTCAAAGTGAGTACTGCGGCTGTATATTCATTGGTTATCGTATTTTCCAAGCACAAACTTATGAGTTACAGAAGTGAATATGAATTGCCCGAAGATTTTTTGATTTTTATTTTAGACACGTATCGTTTGCGAAAATCTGTCCACCGCCGCGTAGATTTTAGATTAGAAACCCTGTCGGTCGGTTACTATTCTGTGCAACCGGCGGCGCTTATGTACTATTTTTATTTGGCGCGCGCGTGTACTGCCGATTCCAACTATGAAATTTCGCGTATCGACTTTATCCTGCTCTCCTTTATTCGCGTTTCCGACCAGATACACGTGTGTGGATGTGTGTGTGTGTGTGTGTGTGTGTGTGTGTGTGTGTGTGTGTGTGTGTAAGGGAATAAGGTTTTATAGTTACACTCTTTGTAATTACATAGAATAATATACATATTATTTTAGAATATCACAAAGGCGATTTTTTTGTGAACTGTGGAACTTGGTCTCTTTTTAACTAGACGTTAAAATTAAAAAAATATTTAATAATAATTTACTGGATTAAGTTTAGGTTTTAATATGTAATATTAATTTATTTCGATGATTTTTATAAATTAAACTTGTCAATTTTTACCACGTGAGGGTTATCACGTATTGTATGACGTATAGGTAGGTAGGTAGGTAGAAATGTAAACCTATTAGCTAATTTTCAACTTAGTAATGTTAAGTACAAATCAAATTGTATTTTATCTAATAAGATAAAACGATGAAATTTTCAAACAACTTTTTGATTAGCATTTTCTCGGTGCTCGTTTTCATCACAACTTCAGCAAATGATTTTTTTTTATGCGTGAATAATAAAACTACGATGTCACGGCGCAAACGATAGACAATTTAACTACATCAGTTTCATAGTTCTATTTTTGCGGTATCTCATAACAGTCATAACTCATCCATAACAATGATATTTTTAACACTATGATGTAATGTGATACAACCATAATAATAATAGTAATAATAACAATGATAACCGCTCTATCATATAGTAATGAGATTGTTACGTCATTATGCCAAGATCTATTTTTTTAAATAAATCTAAGACCCATAATAATTTTTACTGTGATGTCATTAATTTAATTATTTGTTTATGATTAATTTTAAAAATAAAAATATAACTAATTTTCAAAAAGTTTTTTCCAATTCTTTTTATATTTTTAATATTATTGCTTTTTGTAGCTTAAGCAATTTCAAACACTCAAGTGATGTAGGTTCATCTACTTATCTATTTATTTCAAATTCTAGTAAAAAACTAACGGCGCAAAAAGAAGTTCAACTTTATCTGATAACTTGATTTGAATTACTTTTTCTGTCAAAAACTTTCAACTGAACATTACTCTTTTATCAATATTGTGAAGTTATTTTCAACTAAACTGAGTTAATTACTTTTCTATTTTATAAAGTTAGACATGTATCCTTAATTCATATAACTCAAAATATAGATTTAAAAGAAAAAAAATAGTAGGTACTTGTCGCTATCGGAGGATTAGTTGATGTAATAATAATCGACTGCCGAGCCACCAATGTCGAAACACAGTGTATAATAATTTAATATGAATTGTAATATAATATAACATGAGATAAATTACGCATGCCGTGCTTCGATATGGTATTTATTATATACTATGACCGCCGCCAGTGAATGGAAAGTCATAATTATTATTAAAATCGCTGCCACCGGTACACGAATATATACAAATACACGTACATAAACGCGTACGGTTAGAACTTAAAACTTGCAGTTAATTAGAGATCCAATGTATTCACACACCACCCTATCAGCGCTCATTGTTATATTGTATAGATGTACATCACGGGGCTAATATAAAATATTATTCAAGTTTTATATAATATCTATATTATATTTACAGGTAATATTGCAGGTAATAAAGTGACCGGATATCATTTTCGTACGTTTTTCCGATACCATATTTTGTAATAAAATTATTATAAATAGATCAGTATTTGTGCACTCAAATAGCATGAGTACTATGATGATATTCATCTACAGCATTCGCGGCGTGATTATCATTCAAACACATAACACGTGTCGACTTTACTTTGCTTATACCGTGTTTTTCATACTAAACGATACGCTATCGGGTCGGTCAACCCAGATAAGTTAGAACAAACGTTCTACTGCCTACAACGAAATGCTTGGTGAGCGTAAATCGTATTTACTATGATAAAATAAGTATTACGTATTACTGAATGGCACAAGTGCAGTGTGACTGATAACCTACCAAACATCCATATCTAAATAATGGGATAACGCCTCAACACTACCTGATAGCGATGGTCATCTATAAAAATGCTTATAAGTTAATTAATTTTTGCGTGCAAAAATCAATTGATATTAATAAAATATATTTTGAATTCCACTGGTAGTTGTATAAAAACTTAAAGCATAAACATTCTGATTGATT